TTTGACTTTTAAAAAGATTTTCGTGATGGTGTTTCAAAGAATGTTATTCATTACTTCTTAATTAATTATTTTTTTGGGAATATATAATCTTACGAGATTAAATAGATTATTTAAAGAACATAGAGATTATGTTAGATTATCAAATATCTTTATCTATGTCTTTCAGGTTGTTTTGTGTATATTATATTTATAGTAACACATTAATTAGATTATCAACATTATATTTGAATAAAACTTCTCACTCATTGCTTTTTGTGTCTCAATAATTACTTATCCCGCAAAATATTATCCTCATTTGATGTTTTTATCAAGTGCCCATATAGAAGGGTTTAATTTCAACCAATATTTCTCTCACTGATCTGTTTGTGTGGATATTTGCCAGTGGGTTAAACGTGTGCACATCGACATCCGCATCAAATGGCCAAGCGACGTTTAGCAGTCGATAAAGTCATTCAGTGCAGCACGTGAATGCCGGCTAAGTTATGCATGTGTGCGTGTGCGAGTGTGCGTGTGTATAGTATGTATTGGCCCTCTGCCGTTTTGCCCCTCATTTTACGCTTTTGTGATAAAGTAATCAGCTGATGCCGTCGGCCAAAGTCCAGCGAACGAGCGATGTCGAGCGATAGCCATCGATGGCCATCGATGTCAACTGGGGGCCACGACACTGACCGTCGGTAACCGCAAAATGTTTATTGATTATTTGCCACGCACTCGCCCACTCCGATGCGAAATGCATTTTGTGCGGTTAAATATTGACGAAAATTGTATGCAAACTTTCCGAATTTATTTACTCAACAAATAGATGGGACGAAAGGGAAAAAATGTGTAAAATAAATCAAACCGAAGCCAGTCATGCCGAATTGGCCAAAACAAAACCGAATTGGGCAAATACCAAATCAAAATAGTTCGGCCAAAACAAATAGGGACATCAAACGAGATGGGTTCGCCTGCCCTCGAAAAGCCTCTCTGGACAGTTCGGCGTCTAGACGGTATTGCATTTCGGCCATGGCCAATAAAGCAAATGCGAACATTCGTCCTACACTAAAAATTAACAACGGCGACGACACGTTTCGACCGACACGGGCAAAAAAAAAAAAAAGAAAAAATAGGCGACGGGAAAAAGGGGGGGAAAAACGGGGAGCGGGCAAAAAGCATAAACCAAAAGACAGACATCTGACAGACGGCCAAATGGAATAAGAAATGGCAATGAAAATAATAAAAGTCCCGAATGAAAGAACACGGACCCAAAAAAAGGGGAGAGCTGGAAATGGTGTGGCCATGAATGAAAATCGGAAAATGCTAAGCAAACACACACACTCATAGAAAAAGGCATAACTCCAAGCGGATCTGTGTGTGTGTGTGTGTGTGTGTGTGAACAGGTTGTGCACTGAAATAAAAACGCAACAATGCGCAATCATCATTATCGTTAAAAGAGGCGCTTACAGAACTAGACAAATTGCCACTTTAGAGGGCCAGGAGCAGCGCTGGACCAGGCCAAAAGCCAAAAGGCTCAAAGTGGCAACAGCAACAGCAACAGCGACGGCAGCAACATTGGCAACACTTGCAGATGGCACGGCAGCAACATCAAGAGCTACAACAGCAACAAGAGCGGAAGTTGGCGGCCACAACGTGCCGAGCGGACCAAGCAAGCGTCTATAATGACCTCTGGGCAAATGGGCCAACACGCACACTCACACTTATGCTCACAAGCACACTCGCACACTCACACACACACACACTCGCAGCGACCCCGCATAAAACCAAAATGGCGCACATTAGAGACCTTCGCCGCACAGAAGTATGCTACGCTTGGCCATTTCAGGCTATGTTGGCTAACCGAAAACGACCAAAGAGCAAAAGAGCAACAAGCCAGCGCACACACAAAAAACAAAAAACAAAAAGAAAGCAGCAACACGAGAAAAAAATAACACTCATAATCAACTGCCGGCGAGTGAACAATGAATAGAATCAAACAAACCCAAATAGAAGCCGAGTTCAGCAGCCACATCAACGGCAGCAAGTTCAAGGTTCGGCGTCTCATTGCTGGCTTTTGTTTAGTCCTCGGAAAAGCATAGGCCAGCACTTTTTTTGGCCTTAATTATAGACACGCACACGAGCACAAAACATGAAGGGAACAATTATGTGGGCTTCTGCACAGCAGCAACAGTCAAGCGCAGCAGAAACATGAACACAGGATTCGTTTAAATGCACAGGAAAAAACCTATAGGTGTAATTTATACTAAGTTAATACTTATAGATCCTTGTTTAAATACTTTCTTAACAATATAAATTACAAAGGAAGAAAAACTAAAGCTAAATAAATATTTTTAGGTTTTAAAAGAAGTTCAAAACTATTGTGTAGCAGCCAAATCATTTTATTATTTTATTTTTTGATCTAAGTAATATTCTAATTACTTAGCATTAGGTAGCCACGTAAATAAAAATAAAAACGCATTAAAAATTAATTATTCTACGAACTGAAAGCCTTTAAATGTATCCCCAACTGTTTCTCATTCTGTAAAATTTGCACCTAAGAGGAATCCTTTCTCTGTATGGCCCTTGGTAATTTGCTGGCATCTGAATGCCTTCCAAGAGCCCTCATTAATAGGAGGGCTAAAACCCTACCCCTTCTGGCCTTCTTAACAGCTCTGATTGCTGCTCATGCAATGGCGACAGCAATTATTGTTACAATTAAAAAACCATTAGCCGTAATTTGGTTGCTTTTTGTGACTCCTTTTTCTCGGCCATGTCGAGTGCGAGTATTTGTTTGATTGGGCCGCACGACACTTCCGCTGGGAAGTCGGAATGAAAGGCCGGAAAACGCAATGAAAACATTAATTTGCCGCCTAAGAATCAATAAGAAAAAGTGCGCAAAGAGAGCCAGGAATAACTAATCCCCTGGCTTAGGTATTTACCCCCGATTTCAAATATTCATGGTAATAACGCAGAAATTGCTTAATTCCATTTAATAAGCTGAAAATTTCTCTCTTTCTCTCTCCTTGTTACAATTGATTGTGTACACACGGTGGGTAATTTACTTGGAGAATGTGGCCAACTTTGAACTTAACTATTTATGAAATTGAACTTTGCCTTCCATTAGCGCATAATTTTCCCAGTCCCTCGAGCCCCCCTCGATTTCGGAAAACGCTCTTCCACTTTTATTTTCCCTTTTCGATTTGTTCCTTTTTTTTGGCTCCTCTTTTTTTTCGTGCCGCAGCACACATGCAACATGCCGCACGGAGCAAAATGGCCGCAAAGTGATGGGCCTAGGCTGCCATTGATTGGCAGCTGTCTCACATGGCACCCCCCTTTCCACCATTTTCCATAGCCCCTTTTCCCCACCTCCCTAATCCCGAGCTGCCCCCTTTTATGCCACCAGCTGAGTGTCAAAGGCGCTTAAACGCTTTGAGCATGCCGTCCCCCTTCCTTCTCCACCGCTCCTCATTCTTCCCTTTTTTTTTTTTTTTTTTTTTTTGGCCACGTTCTCTTGGCCTTTTTTCGGCTCCGGCCAATCTTCTCAGATTCTTTTATGCCGCGCCACTGCGAAGCGAAACTGGCTGAAATGCTTTTTGTGCCTTTGCATTTAATACTCTAACTGGCGGCGGCAAAATGCCATCGCGTTTTTTCCGAAGCCTTTGCGAAATAATTAAGCCCTTGTCTATTACGGATAACTAGAGGAACATTCTTCCCAACTTTAGACCACAAAAACGCTACGGCTTTTGGAATAGTTTTCAAGATTAATAGCCAGCATTTCACTTTTATTCTTATTTTAATTTTAATTATGGGGGAAATGGAAAAATTCCTTTAGATATAATAAAGCAAACGGACCATAGATATTTCTTAGAACAACACCTAAAAACTTAGGATACATAGCAGAAAATTGATTTAAAATTAAATACTGCTTTACACAAAATGTTGAAAGATTTGCTAGATTTTTAAGCATTAAGCAAGATAACCTTATTTTATATTGTTTGCATATTAACATTTTAAACTTCTTTCCATTTCTGTTATTAGTTTTTTAATGTAATATTGGTTTTCTCATATTCCTCTTTTTTATAACAAATACTTTACATAAAAATATGTATTTTGATGAGTTTATTATTACAATCTCAGCATAAACCGCGGAACTGAATAAACTGCTGATGGTACCAAATACCACACTTCATTCACGAAACCACGTTTCTTAGCTTCTGTACCACATAGAGTAAGGCCATAAGGGCATTTAACTGGCGACTCCGAGCACTTTTTCTTAGCCCTCTGGAGCGGTTCTACGCTCATAATCACCAAAAAACAGACGGAGGGTCGGAGTGCTTTTGAAGTTCTTTCTGCTCCGCATTGTTGTTGCTCTCGGGGCGCCAAAGGGGGTATGCATGCAGTGGCGTAGCAATAGAGGGGCGGTGGGAGGAGGGGCCGAGGGGGCGGAGGGGGCAAGGGCATGCGAAACAACCTCGACATGCGATGCAATCGCCAGCGCGTTTTTTTCGACCAGCTTTTGTGTCTTGGTAGCGTTTTTTTTTTTTTTTTTTCGGAGCCGCGAGTCGCGAACTGCAAGTTGCTGGTTGCTGGTTGCTAGTTGCGAGTTGCGACCAGGTGGCTACTGTTACGGCCAAGATATTGCACACTTTGCTCAGACAAAAAGGCGAGAGAATTCCGCTTAGAGCTCTTCTAAGTGGCAATAACAATTTGGCCGTTTGCATTTGCGATTTATGCGCTGAATGGGCCAACTTGGACACTGCACAAATGCAAATGGCAACTGATGGCCAAAAATAACTCCTTTGTCTTGCTTTTCTTTTTCTTTTTTTTTTTTTTTTTTTGAGCCAGGAGAAGAGAACGGGTTGCAAACAAGTCGCAAGTCTGAATCAACTGGTCAGCGAGGGTAATGCAAAGTGAAACACGCTTGGCAGGTAGCGCTCAGGTGGGATTCTGATTGGATTCCGCTTGGCGAACTGGAGATTGGGAGAACGTTGCACAGACTCGCGGATCGAGATTTGTATATTCACCTCACTCTGGAAATTGAGTCCCCTGATGAGTTGCACACAAGATTCGTTTTTTGTTATGCTGATGCTTCTGTGATTGTTTGTTTTTTTTTTTTCAGACACTGCTCACTGTTTTCACGAGTTTTCAATTGGGTTTCTGGCTGCGCTTTTCCGCTTTTCCACTTTCCCGCTCACCATCCGCAAAAGAGTACCGTTCGAGTCGCGATTTAAAGTCAAACTGAACAATCCGTCGCTGTTGCTTCGCCTCCGAAGTTTTCGCATATATCTTCGGAATTCAGTTTTCGGCCTCGGGTTCGCTCTCATTCGTTTCAGATTCGCCAAGGCGAGTGTAGAATGAGCGTAAGGTAGTCTCGTCGGGTCCGTAATTAAATATATCTTTCGTTTTCTTTCTGATTTGATAGAACTGATCTTAAACCTTTCTTGAGATATCCTAATTGATTATTCAAAGGCTTTCTAAATTTAGCTGTAATCGGTGACAGGCAAATGTATTGACCTTCAAGACAGAGTTTGGAAACTCGGGATTGACCTTTGTCAATCACCCCACCATATGATATTATCTTTGTTTGTTATTCAAACTTAACAATCGGTTCCCAAACGGTTGGACAAACATTTTCCCAAACCGTTGGACAACATCGTTTAAATTCTCTAAGAGAACGCAAGAGAGCCGAGAGAGCCACGCGAACGATTGCGGACTGAACCCGAATGGTTTTGCACCCGAAGAGACGACCGCGTCGCAGTTCGTTAAAAACGAGTTTCGAGCCTGGAAATGCCAACAAACTGTTACTGGGAACACTTTAGGACCTGCCGGCTTTTTAACAGTTTGTTTTGCTGTTGGGCTTACTGATTTTGTCTGGAGGAACAACCCAAAAAATGTTAAGGTTAATGCTGTAAGCAAAAATGAAATGTAAGAAGACTTTCATTTACCAAATAAATATTTATTGTAATGTAATTATTGTTTAACTAGACGCTTACTTGATCAGAAAATGACAAAAAACTATATTTTCAGCTAACAGAGGTTCTGTAATAAACCAAATGTGGCATGCCATTTCCAGTTTGAAATGTTATTTACAAAATTAGTTATATTTCTCGTATATTTCTTTAAGACTAACAAGGATTATGGTCCCAATACATACAATTATGTGAAACCTTTAAAATGTCTCCCTCTTCTTGGCCAACGAATCTTAAAATGTTTTTCATGTAAGTCCCATTTAATTATTGCAAATTGCAATCGACGAGAATAGTAAATCACAACCGACTGCCGCACAGCCTTAATTAATCTCGGTTATCAGTGGTTGTGGTGGGCGATGACATCTCCGTAACACCTTCTTTGGCTTTTATAGAACTTTCACTTAATTGCCATAAATTAGAAGTGCCGATACGTGTTGCATTAAAATTTCAGATCCATTCGGTGGGCGGCCAATCAAGTGATTGACCACAGATTGCGCGGCGGCGGAGGGAAATCGCTTGGAATTAGGCCATGTGAAATAATTTATGCTCGAATTAATAATGGCACGTAGCCAATCATTTGAATGCGATTTAATTAATTTCCCATGCCAACCATCACCTGGATCAGCCAACTCAGGGCCGAGAACTAAGAAATGGGTTCCAGTAATGATAGGACTTGAGCCACTCGTCAGTTTAGATGGATATGCACTACTTACGACCGCTTGTATATCAATAAAATCAAATAAATATATCGTTTGATGCCGGGGCCATCCACCTGAGATCCGCACGCATATAAATAACCAATGATGCGGCATTTATCTGCCCACCACTCCACCTCCTCCTCCTCCTCCTCCTCCTCCTCCTCCTCCTCCTCATCCTCATCCATTCCCACTGCTGGCCATCAGTCTCGGCTTACGTTCCATTTAAAATGGTTTTCGGCCGTCGTGGGGGCCATTGAAACTAAAGACGAAGAAATTGTTCTTTGGGTACAGAGAAGAAAAAACAGGGAACCTATTTATGTTTTCAAAGCCATAAATATGTAGAAGGTTTATAAATTAAGAGAAACAACAAATAGTTAATAGATAAATAAAAAATGGGTTTATAATGGCTTTTATATTTCATTTATAATATAAATATTTCATGTTTATGATATTTTCGCTTTAAGAACAACAAATGTATAATTTGTATATTATCATACATAGATAATAGTAGAACAACTTAATAGATTTTTTATATTCCTATTAAGTAATAAAACTGCTATTAAAAAGGTATACTATGTATATTTATTTTAGAATTCTAAATAATACATTTAGTCCTCTTGGCTTTCATGTTTTCTCAAAAACTAAGGAATCTCACATACTTTCCTTTCAGTTCTCTCAGTGCACCTCCGCCATTGTTCTGGGGGAGTTCGCAGGATTCCTCCCGAGCCAAACTTGGGGCTAAAAGGGATAAACGTTTTTAGCATGGCCTGCACGATTTTTATGCAGGGAACGTGTTGTTGCTGCCCCCGTGTTCCCGTATTTCCCGTATTCCCGTATCCCCACATTGCCGCACTCCTTTGGCCCGCTTTTGGCTCAGAGGCTCTTGGCCATGTCCGTGCGACTGTTTCGCGTCATTTGCTCTCTGCTGGATCGTAATTTTATGGCTGCCAGCAGCTTCTTGGGTCTCCAATTGCAGGCAAAAGGGCGTTTGAAGGCATAGCAGGCAGTCAAAGCAAACGGAAGTAAGCTGAAGCCAAAAATTCTCTTCTCGTTTTTATTTGACGAGGCGTTCAGTTCCCAGAGCATTCCTCCAGAAGTTGTCAAAACAAAGCGAGCGAAACTAACAATAAGTGAGTGGAGACGGCGGGGCAGGGGGAGGTGGAGGTGGAGGAGGGGTGGGGGTGGATGTGAAGGCCAAGGTGGGGCAACAATGGGCCAACTGCATCACCTGGCACCGGACCAAACGGCAGGCGGAGTCGAGAATATCGCTTACCAACTCGTTTGGCAATTTTTCTCAATTTTCACATTGAAAACTAAGCGCCGGAGCTCCGAAAGAATCGCCTCTCAATCGTATCATCCGCCCCTGGCCAACCCATTTAACCCACCTCCTTCTGACTTCATATTTGCGCTTCCAATTTTGGCTGGTCCCTTCGAGGTGGTGGAGGGAGTGTGGGGTTGCAAATGGGGTTGTGCCTCCGGAGGGAGGTGTCAGCGGCACAAAGCCAACTGGATTTCCGCAGGCCAACTCGAATTCGCTGGACACATAGAAAATAAAAGAGTTATAAATATGCGTATAAAAGGAAATGAGATATGAGCAAATATTAATAATAAAACAAGATGTAATACTTATAAGAAATATATATTATATTAACAGAATGTTTCTCAAATCATTTTGACTTTCCTATTACTTTGTAGTAGCTTAAAAATTAGAACTGATACTGAATCTCATGATATTGGGTGTTTATTTGAAAAAATTAGTTGCATAAAAATTCTATAGAAATATTATGGACATTATACATTTTTGGCTTTGTTTTTTTGTTTTAATGGTTTTTAAAGGGAATAAAACTAATTGATAAAATAAATTTAAAAAAAAATCTTTTGTATTCTAAATTTAAAAGTTGCCATTTTCTTGAAGCTTTCTATTTTAAACTTAAATCTATTTAAATAAACCATTACTATTTAGTAAGACCACAATATTTTGGAACTTTTGACACTTCATTTTTTTAGTTGCAACCTAAAAGTTTTTCCAAGTGTATTTATAGTATCCACCTTCATCTTGGGGCCGCTGGCCATGTTGCTGTTGCACGATTGCTCTTTGGTGATTTGGATTCCCAGCTCACACACACACACACACTTATACATGGCGAAACAAAGCACAAATTGTTGTTTGTAATTGTGCGTTGGCACCCACCCACACTTACACACAACAACAACAAGTCACTATGGGGCAAATGACCAGTTTTTGTGGCATTAATTAATAACTTGAAAACTAATCAACATTTTTGGGATCTGTTTTTTGATTCGAGTTAATAATAAAATAAGGCATGTATTTTAAGAAAAATAGGCGTGGCTCCGCCCATTTTTTAGTTTAAAAAATTTTTTTTTAATGAATAATATTAAAAAAAATTATTTTTTTTTATTTTCTGACTAGAATTATTAAACAAAACAATTTTAAAAAAAATTCGTTGTCCTAACTTTTTTTAAATAATTATATCGACTTTTTTTGTATTTTGAGGAACACTTTTTAAGACCCTGTAACAAAAAAGTATAAAACTTTACTTTTAGTTAATATGTTTATGTTTTTCTATCTTATTTTTCATGGTCCACTAAGTGGCGGATCCAGGATTTTGATAAGGGGGGGTCCAAAATTTTTTAAAGCGGGGCGGTGTAGAAATTTTTTTTTTTCCTTGAGATATATGCATAATTACCACGTAAAAAAAAAACTCTTTATTAACTATTATGACAAAAAAAAATTTACTAATCTACAAAAACAAAACAACTTTTCATATAAAAAAAAAAAAAACGAGGCACTTCTGACGTCGAAGCTTATTTCGTGCAAGCACTTTAATGTTCAATAACTTAACTATTTCTTAATTTTTAAACTTTTTTTTACCTCCTATCCGTTTGTTAGGGGCTTTAAATTAATTTCATAAAGATTTCAACATTTTTCTAGTTGTTTTAACGGGTATTTTAGCCCACTTCTGCAGTAAAGAAATCTTCAGGTCATTTTCGTTGGAAAATCCACTTTTTCGAATCTCCAAGTCCAAAATTTTCAACAATTGTTCAATAAAATTTAAGTCTGGAGACTGTGTTGGCGTATTAATCCCATTGGGACAGTTCTAGATCAGGAAAGGGCTACAAAAAAGGGCCGGGTTGCACCAAACCAAATATTCAATATTCAATATTTTGGCGGTGATACCCGTTACCACAGCAACTCCAGAACGATCATTTTCGACTTTGAGGAGAATGAAAGATTATCTGAGAAACACGATGGGTCAAGAGCGTCTCAATGGTCTTGCATCTTTGAACATTCATCATCGCATAACTTTGACTGAAGACGAAATTCTCAGAAAGTTTTTTGAAAAACCTCGGAAATTTAAGAGTGACTAGATCCGTTTGTGGATCATATATAATATTTTTTCTTGATTTATTATTCGAAAATAAATTAAAATCTGTGTAAAACATTCAAAAAATTACGAATTTTTATTAATAACTTTGTGTTTCAACTCCACCAACATGCCCAATAAAAGCATAAAATTTGAAAGTATATGATCCCATGGGGGGGGTCCGGACCCGAAAACCCCCCCCGTGGATCCGCCACTGGTCCACTTGGTTCTTAGCGTTTTTTATAGTAACAAATGTTTGCGAGCTTAGCCAAGTGCCATGTCTTCTCTCAAACTGTATTAAATTTCTATTGCTAGGTTAGCACCTTAAAAGTTAAATTTTGAAGAAAGTGCGCAAAAGTGCACTTTTATATTAACTGAGTATAAGGAGAATTGATCACTCTACAAAATAAAACAAGTTTTAGAGCTGGACTCAGCTGGACTCACTTTGTTGCTCCATTTAAAAACAAAAATGTAAGACTACGTTTCAATTTTTTGAGGTTAGAACTTACACAAGATTATAGGGACGCCACAATCAATTTTTATAATTTAAGCTCACAAACACATAATCCAAACCATTCTGAATCGACTTCCATTCACACATTTTACAAAAATTGGTTTTAAATGCGCTTTTTAAACATTTTAAAGTTTGAACAAATACAAACAATTTTACAGCATGTGCTTCTGTTAAAAAACAGCTGACTTTGACAGCTGATATCTTAACAGTGGTGCGGTCTGTTAAAATTTTAAGTACGTAACATTTTACCTCCATGTTATCTTAACTCATTGCGATTAAAAAAAATTTTTTTAACGACTTTTAAAAAATGGGTTTCGGCCACCAAATGTGGGCAAATGCCCCATAGTGCAAGTGAATAAACCACACACACACTCTCACACACACACACACACACACACACTTACGAGCTCACCTGCCGCTGCGTGCGCCGAATTCCATTGCATACTTGGCGGCGCCTGCTCCAGCATTCCTCCCCCTGCCACGCCCCCTCTACTGCCCCTTTTCCCTTGGAGCTGCGACCCTGTGCAAATAAAAAGTGATATACGCGCGACACTGAATGAATATTAATCGCTTTCTTTTTGCAGCTCCCGTTCTGGCGAGAAAACCTTTGTGGCTCTGTGGCCTTTTGTTTGGACCATCTGGCTGGCTGATTTGGCAGCTTAAATGATTTCCGCTTCGACTTGACTGCGTGTGGAATTCACGGAAATTTATTAGTTAAGTCTAGCTGATTGTTCCCGGTCTTCCGTATGGAATAACTCCGCTTTCCTTGATTTTCCGTCTGGCTTTCATTTCCATTTTTTTTTTGGGAATTCACACTCTTTTTTTTTTGCGCGTAGGTTTTTTTTTTGAAAGCAAAGTACTTAGTCAGAACAGAACAAAAATAAAAATAAAATAAAGTCTGGCCTTACTCATTATCCACACTCAGGGAAAAAGTTTAATTAATTAAAATAGGAACTAGAAGCCTATTACAGCTTAAAAGTTTGTTATAATATTATTGTTTAGTTGTCTGAAATAAAAAGTTCTTTTTTTCGAAAAAGATTCACGTAGATTAAAGTTTAAATTGCTGAAGATTTATAATATTATTGTTTAGTTGTCTTAAATAAAAAGTTTTTTGATAAAAAATTTATATTTATTAAAATCTTTTTTTGGCAACAATAATTCCCCAGTTTCATGAGTGCAAAAGCCCCTCGAGCCACAACTTGTCACGAGGGTTAACACGTTCCCTTTTTTTTGGCCTCCCCTTGTACTTAGCACCTTTGAAAGGCTTCACTGTACGCCCGAAAATAAAATAAAGAAAAAACTGTCACAAATTTCGGGCAATTCAATTTGGGCTCTCGGCGGATTCAAAGTTTGTTTGGGAATTCTTCGTGCTGAGGTGTTTTATTTTTAATGAATTTTTCGCATTAAATTTCGCAACAATGAATCGCTTTGTGCCGAGGGGTTCGATGTCACCAAGGTGTTCGGATCGCTTGACACCTCGTCTGGACGAGTGACCCTCCCCCCTCTCCTGCAACCCCCATTATCACCCCCCTTGGGGATCCTGAGTCTGTCAGGTATTTCCGCAAACATGTTTGCATGTTTTGCCACACAGAATTTATAGTTAATTTTCAATTTTGTTCAACAAGCTGCACAGACACTAGTGCTCACAGGCTCACATAGATTTGAATGAATGGATTCCATTTTGCCAGGCATGCCAGGTGGAAGGGGCGGGGTTTTCGAAGGGGGTTTCCAAAGGGGGCGGGACTGGCACCCTGTTTCAAAGGCAAACTTTGCAGACAACAAAAGCCCCTTTCGCAGACTGGGAAGGAAGATGCAGGATGCGAGGACAAGAAGGCCACAGAGGAGCAGAGAAGCAGAGGGGGAGGCTCAAACTTTACGCTCTCCATTCTAATTGCCAGTGCCACACCCCCTTTCTAGGTGTCACCGGCTACGCCCATGCGGCTTTTGATTCTCTGTGGTTGTGCGTCTGAAAAAAGACAACTAAATAATAAAAAAAAACTCAAACACACTCACAACGAAACTAATCTGGTAGTGAGCCCCGAACACGACACACTCACTGAAACAAAAATAATAATATAAAATGAATACTTGATAAAAAAAATGTTTAAAAAAGTGGAACTTTATTTTTACATACTTGCAAAATTATGTGCAAATGACAAACACCATTTTTATCTTAAACATGAGTAAAACAATTATTATTATTTGTAAATCTTACTAACAAGTAATACAATACTTATAAAAGATACTTTTAAATACTGAATGGTTTTTATTGCAGAGAAGTTAATCAATCAACATCTGTTAGATTAAACATATCTAATCATAAATACTCCAAACTGGTTTCCAATGCTTTAATAAATATAATCCCTCCAAAGAATTTGTACATTTGTTTGAAACTTATTCTATATAGTTTGTGTTTCGTAACATACTCGTATTTATGGTAACTTATTTTTCCCCTGTGCAGACAGATCCCCACAAGCCCGTATATACATAGAAAAGCAATTTGTTTGCGGCTCTCACTATTGTTGCATGATTATTGTTTGTTTGGATGCGTCTGCTTTCCAACCGAATCGCGGCTCGAGTCGCAGCCCCCAGAATTTTCCGCCCGCTTTTCCCCGCCAGTTTTCCCCACCGTCTTTGTCACACTTTTTTCCAGCAGCCCCTGCGTTTGTGTGTTCGAGTCTGTCCTTGCGGTGTATTTAACCTGTCTGCTTGTTGGATTACGACAACCAGTCCACAGACATAAGAGGAAGGGAAAGGGGAAGGGGAGGGGAGCGGAGTGAAGGGGGGATGGCAAACAAAACAGGCAACAAAACATGTATCTATTCATACGCCACTTTGTGCCGAGGGGGTGGTGAAAAAAGGGGTGCGAGTGGGTGGTCGGGTAATGCAATACGCATGCAGCGATACCACAAGAGCCCCAAAAGAGACCCTGAACCAGAACCCACTCCTCAGCACGATATCCACTGGGTTAGCAGACATTTTAACGCTTATTTTACTTTTGGCTACAAATGCACACCCCAAGCAAACGGCAAACAAGCAAACAGCAACCGCAATGTTCACACTTATTTGCCTTTACACTCAGCTCAATTGCGTTCCGCTGGGCAAAAAGGCTCGTTGATTCTCCGTTCAAACCGAATCAATTGTGGAGATTTTGTTGATCGATTTGCCATAAAAATGCAGAAACTCCTGGAAGACATCGTACACAAAATATGACCAGAAACCTGAAAATTATCAAATTGTTTGAGCAACTAATATGTGGGACAATAATTACAAATGACATACCTGCCGTAGTTAAAAGCAGGGGAACCGTTTGCAGAATTATGCCTTCCAGAGAGAAAAAATAGACGAATGACTTGTACAATAGAGTGTAGATAAAAATACAGCCAGCAAAAATCCAGGGCAAGAAGAGCCAATGATTCAACTGTGAGTATAAAAAAGAGGTTACATAATAATCCAATATTTAAAATCATAAAAAACACTGTGCAAGTTCAATAGTGATACATCAGGATAACAAAAAGAATTCGGTTAGATAAAGCTCTTTATGCTATAAGCATTTAGCATATTGAATTTTAATTTTGATAATGCAAAATCTGAGAAGTTCTACGGATTTTCAAAAACTTTTTATAAATCACACCTTTATTGAACCTACGAGAAGGCTCAATCCACCGACGATCTGCAGCAGGTACAAGTGCTTCCACACACTTATATCCCAGCATTTATTGGTCTCAACCCACGTGGTCACCATCCAAAATGTGAGAAAGGGAACAATTATGGAGCTGAATGAAATGGCTATGCCCACATATGCATCTTTTACCGATTTCAGCATTTTAAGCAGCAACTGAACTCCACAAACACTCCGCGACAACTGATAGAACCCGAAGTTTCAGACCTCACACAGCTGGCCGTCCTTATCTTAAACCCGGGGGTTTTTGGTACCTCGGTAAACAGAACTTTATATACCCATAGTTATTGATAAAACTATAAAAAAAAAAAAAATATATTATATATAATTAAATGTTAACAATATGCAAAAAAAAAGTTATATATAATACAATAATATATAATATCATTATATAATATTTATTTTATTTCTGTAAGTTAATAAAATCATTACAAGCTATTCGAATAACTAGTATACCCTAAAAAAGTGTAAAACATTTGTATTTTATATTTTCAGATAGAAAGCTACTGATAACGAGGCAAAATTTTTTTTTATAAATATCATTATTTTAATCTCGGATTTGCAATTGGTTTTCAGTACTTTATGTGACCTTCAGTTATTCATCACAATATCAATGAATCTTGCTTAAGAGTGTTTTACTCATAAGTGCATATACATTATTTTTTCTACTTAAAGCAAGGCACTTTATAAATCCTTTGTTTTGCTGTGAAACCGAAATCTGCTAACCGGAAACTTTAACAAAATTGGGGGTTATAGAGCACGAGTCGCGATGAATGTTCGTCTTAAGTAGCTGAAGCATTTCGCGTAAATTAGCCGAGTGTAGACTTCATTAAGTTGGGCCAGTAAATTAAGTGCTAATGTCGAAAGTTTTGACCGACAAAGTGCGCAATGAAATGCTATAGTTGTTGCTGCTATCCGAACTGTTGTTGTTGTTGTTGTGCTTGATATTTTTGCGCCACTCTTGCGGAGGAAACAGCCAGCGGCAATGGAAAAGCGAAGCTGGAGCATTATCCGTAGTCGAATCCGCATCCGCATCGGCATCCGCGCCTCATCCCCCGAAACCGCAACAACAACAACGAGAGCAATACCAGAAATTAGAGTCAAATATGAGAACCGAATATTGAAACCCTCTATTTTAAACCATTAACACAAGTTAAACAACACCTTTGTTTATGTAAATACTTACTGTTTTCTGAAGTAGAATCAATTTTGATTGATTTCGGAAAAATACGAATCAGCATAAATTTATCTAAAATAGCCTTAAATTGCTATTTAAAGGGCGCAAATAAAATTTAAGTTCCACAATCTGGATATAACTGACAAACCTTATTAAGCAACATTATATTATATTATTTATTTCGCTTTGAATATATGAAATTAATAACACAAATATAGTGACTATTGGAGATAAATAAACAAGTTTGAAAATCAAGTATAAAATTTAATAAAAGGAAAAAAAATAGATTCGCAAAAGTTTTTTTTCTCTTGAAGTTAGACCTTATTAAAAGCCCTATGCATCAAGTTTGTAGCTTTTTACTCGCACACATTGAATTACACAATACAACATTTTCATCTTATATAGTGTTACTTAATTTCCCAATAATTAAAAACACCCTATTGTAGAGTATATTAACAGGTCGAAAGGGAAAAAGAGTGGAAAGGACGCCAAATTGATGATGTAGACCAGCGAACGAAAATTGCTCTCACTTTCCCCGGCAACCCCAGGCTCCCTCTCACCTTTTCACTCCACAACCCCCTAAAAGGGGCCACTGCCACGCCCCGAACCCCATCACACCCGCCTTAATGTCTGCGTAAGGCAAAAACAGTCTGCAAATTTTTAATGCTTTAATCTTGATGCTAATAAATCTTGAAGTTGCCTGGCACTTTTGCATTACTTTCGGGGTAAAAGGGTTTCCACAGGGAAGAAGAGGTGGAAGTATAAGCAGGGTGGCAAATACAATTAGACAGCTGCACGCCTAACGGTCTTAGTTTAAGCCAATTTGAATGCACTTTAGCCCCCCGGTGGGCAAAAAACCCCCCCGAACCCCCGAAACCCCGCAGATCCCCGTGGTAATTGCAAGTGACACTTGAGGCGAGTGCCTTGCTGACATCGCCTCTAATCGAATTTCGAGCTGTTCGGTGCGTGTGGCCTGGCCATTGATTAACCCGACCAGTTTTTCAGGAAGGGAAAGGGGTTTCCATCAATGGGGAAAAACTTCGGGCATAATTTCCCTGCCAAAAGTTGGCCACAATGTCATCAGCGGCACTTGCCAGTTGACAGTTTTGCGGTTGTTGGAAGAGAAGGGATGGCTTTGACACACAACTGTCAGAGTTTCGTGTGACAAATTTTCGTTATTAGACGGAGACGGAGGCGAAGGCAAACCGTCGTTTTATTAACTTGAAATTTATGGCCAGCCATTTGGCAAGACAAATTAATCAAAAGCCAGGGCGTCGCCTCGCTTTTATTTCCGTGTACATAAATTTGTATTTAAAAATGAGTTAGACTCGCAGCTTTGGCTCAATTTCACGCCATCTCAGCTCACAGATTCTCGGCTTCCACCTGCCAAATGCCAAATGGTCCCCATTTCTCTTACCGCCCTTCCACACTTTTCTTATTATGTACGAATTTGTCATTTCCTCGAGCTGAAATGCAATTTAAATGCTGCCGTGGAGCGAAAAGGAATTTTAATGTGCTCCTTTTTAATGGGGAGACGTTAAAGTGCCGGCGAGTAAAACAAACTTGATGTCTTCTCCCTTCGAAGTACCCAGCACTCCCTCATCAAGACTCTCCTTGGTGTTCAGAAGAAGCGGCATATGTTGACCACTCAGTTTATGAGGTGACCCAAAGTTCCCCTTGCTTCAAGCAAAAAAAGTGCAAAAATATGTTGCACATAAATTCGTATTAAGTTTGGCCCGCTGTCACTTTTTCTTCGGCCGCCTAAGCAATGCGGGCAGACAGCATAACGACATAATCATAAATTTAAATATGCAACCCAGAGTTCCGGCCCCTCTGAACCCGAACATCTTTGCCAAAAAAAAAAAAAAAGAAGGAAAAGCGGCTGAGTGGAAAAAAGCGCAGAGGAAACCTTGGCAGTGACAGTTTCACTTTGCCTGGCGTAAGGAATTTCCCCGGCTTGCCAGGCACACATGTTGCCCCAGCTTTATGCGTCCTAAATGGAGTTGTTTTCCAGCCGTCGAGATGGAAAGGCGGAAGTGCTGCCCTCCACTAAGGAAAGGTCTTTATTACCCGAAGTTGGTACTAATCTGGAATCAGATTATGCAGAGTACTAGGGGTTCGAGTGTCAGACACTATGTACAACGAAAAGGAAATCGCCAACCGCTTACATAAATATATAATCAGTTATTCTAAATGTCCCAACCAATAAGTTCAAAAACGGTATTGCCAAGTAACTAAAGTTTTAAATCGGGGAGTAACTATCTTCATTGATTCGTTTTTAAATAAACAAAAGATAAGTTTAATTGCAGTGTATCATTAAATTTTAGAAAGGCTTAAAAATAACTCTTTGTTTCCACACCATATTTAAAGCAACTTTAATTATCAACTTTAAGCACAAAATCATTTAAAATCTAATATTCAAGAGTAAGGAATTCTTCTCAAGTATAAATAGAATAAAATTTGAAATCGCAACGTTTAATTTTATTTAACAAGCATTTTCTTATTTAGATAAATTATTCATACTCAAACTTTCCTACCTCACCTTATTTTGCAAGAAATTCAATTTATTTCAGATGTATGCGAATCTGTTGACTAAGACAACTATTAATTAAATTTTAATCAGCAGCTAAGTTGACAGTCGGAGCTTAGAAATCTAAAATTATGGCCACCACTGGCACCGTAACTATATTCCCTGTTCAATCAAGTAATTTCGGGCGATTTACAAAAGGAAAGTGGCAGAAAAATACTCGGCAAAGTTGGGGGAATCCAACACCTGGGCACCCTTTTCACCCCTTTCAACCCATTTTCCCCCGGAAAACCCCGAGACCCCCATCATCCCAACCAAGTCCCCAAAATCTGACGCAAACATTTTCGAGTAATCCGAGTGAGAAGGAGCGAGGCAGAAACGACAAATAAAATGTTTCGCAAAGCAAACTATGGCCAACAATGGATTTGGGACCTCGACGGATGCGGATGGTGGGAAAAGGAAGAGGAGGAGGTGTCCCCAAAGGAGGGACATTAGTTTATTAGAGTGTGCGAGGAGCTTTAATGCCCGAATCCCAAACAAGAGATAAGAAGAGCTGGAATTTGCCCTGGAAAAACTGGAGACAGCAGAGTGCGAGTGACAAGCCGAATGCATGTTATTGTGTGTGCTTAAAAATGAGAGAGAGAAATCTACTTAAATGGTGAAAAGTTGCGGACATGGAAGGTGCTTCCGGATCAAGGATCTACTCGTACGCAAATAATGTTTGTAAACAATTTTTATTGCTTTCTGGTTGAGATGCGCCCCGTATTTGCTTACAAAAGTAAAAGTTGTTGATAGAAATCACAGAACATAAACAGTGAGATGCCAGCCAGCGATGGAGATACGGACACAGATACAGATCGGGGTGTGTAGACAATAACATAAATTGCAGACTGTGACAAAGGGTTGTCCCCCGTCCATTCCAACCCCCTCTCAAACCCTTTAGTTGAGTGGGTCAGCAGCCCGAGGAATATAAATAACAAAGGCCGAAGAATTCCCCCAGAACTTCTGTCGATGACATCAGCAAACAGTCGGAGAAATTGAAAAACCAATCCGACTTGGCCACATACACGAGTCGCCCCAACCGCCACTGACATGGCCAAAACCAAACCAAAAGACAGCGCCGAAACCAGCCAACCAGCCAACCAATTCGCCATCACAGTTGGGGCTTTAAACTTAAAGCCAGATCGGAAAAGCGGGGAGGGGGAGGGGGAGGCGGTTTAATCCTGCGAAAACCCATACACACACTCACCTAGCCAAAAAGCAGACGAGGAGGAAATTGCTTGCCTTTCCTAACTAAAACTTGGGGAAATTATGAAATTCATACAGGAAGACAATTTTCTTCAACATCTAATTCGGTTTCTGCAGATTCAACTATGAGTACAGTGAAACTAATATTTAAGGAACTTGTTTAAAATAAAATATGGGATAAAATGTAGAAGCTAAAAGATAATAGATTT